GTATTAGCTATTACAAATTCTTTCGTCTGTGTAGTATCCTTGTAATAATACGACAATTACGGTAAATAGTTTTAGTTTACTAAAATACCCGCTAAAAGGGTGAACACAAATGTTTATATTTTTACAGCAATTTTACAAGTGTCCTTTTTTTAGGTTGACAGCTGACGGTTGCCAGACAGCTGTCAGCTAACACCCTAAGGTCGGGTTCACACTATCTAAGCTTACGACACTACAGTCTGGCAAAATTGTATCAAACGGTCACCATGTTCATTTCTAGTTCCTCGACCATATTCTCCCACATATCCATCCATTCTTCCCTGGAGAACTTTGGCATTGAAGTCGCCTATTACTATTGTAGTGTGATGTTTTTTCATTGATTTTAAGACTTGTTCCAAATCATGGTAAAATAGTTCTATATCGTCGTCAGCTTTATCTGCCGTAGGAGCATAAACTAGAATAAAATTTACTATACCTTTTTTAGACTGAAGTTGTATTGATAAGATCCTATCAGAATAAGGAGTAAAACTTCTCACAGAGTAATTGACCTTTCTTGCAACTAAGATAGCAACACCATAGCGATGATTGGCCTCGTTGTTACCTGAATAATACATGGTTCCAATATTTGTAATTTGTTTGCCTGAACCTGGCCATTGTACGTCACTTATACCTAAAACATCAATTTGGAGGTTTTCCATTTCAAGCAGTACGTTCGCTAATTTACCACTTGCGTATAAACTTCTGACATTCCAGGTTGCTATTTTCAATGTCTTAAGTCCACAGGGATTTCTCTGGTTTACGTCCTGGGAGGCCCTGTGATCTACAGTTATTCCTCCACTGCCGGATCTTGGATTCCGTGCTCCATAATCAGTAAGTCTGTTTACTCTACTTGTCATTTGCCATTCATGACTTTACTAGGGGTACTCTAAGAGTCTTTAATGCAGTGGTTCCCCGTTGCCTTCTGCATCCTTACGCCGTTAACCTATTTTTCGATTCATCCGCCTTTAGGACCAGTTTCCCAACCCTTGGACAAAAGAGTGCCCTTCCACTTATTAACTCATCCTCCCTTAGCCGTTGGTCATAAGTGGGGGTTTGCTTATACCGGCAATCATTCGGTGTATGTTTTTTATTTCCCTCCTACCCACCGGTAAACCGGGTCGGGCATTCCCATATCCGCCACCTGGGGACGCACTCTCCAGAGGTTACAAGTTCCTCCGAGAAAAGACGTCTATAATATTCTTTTTTTCTCTGTGTACAACTTGCGTCTATGGCTTTTTGATATGCTACGTTCTTTCTATTTGTGGCCATTTCGCACTCATGATCAAATCAATGATTTCTTTTTTCTGACTTGGTTTTGCCCAATATTTCAACCGATTTCTGTAACACAATATCTCGTATATTCGCCCATAGTTGGATAATGTCTTCTTCGATATAACACAAATAAATTTATAGGAAGACACGATAGGTATACATATACAGGGTGGGTCCTTAAGTAATTGTACAAAAAGAAACCGTAGATTCTACACTTTAAAATATCACGATTTCAGCCAAATTGCTTTAATAAAATGGTGATATCAAGAAAGATACAGGGTGTTAAAGTGGAAATTTAAAATTTTAATTTTCGCTATAACTTTCATGTTTGTGAATACTTATTTATCAAAATTCATAACTTGGTACTATTGAACATCAGGAATTATAATTTGATGCATAATTTAATTTAGCTGATTAAGGGAACCACATAATTGGCATACATTTGCACTAACTTTTTTGCTCTTTAAGTTACCGGTAATTTTGATAAAAAATATTAAAGATACATTATTTTAACAAAAAAGGTATACTTATTAATAACTTCAAAACTCAACAGTTTTCGATATAATCCCATTTTACAATTCGACTATATAATTCAGATTAAACGCAATTACTCCAGGCAACGAAAGAAAATTATACAAAAACATCAATACTTCTGAATTTTGATATAAAATGCCTTTAATAAAGTTAATATTTAACGAAATATTAAATAAAATAAATATATCAGCGGGATAGTTAATAGTAGGATTTGACAAAATAACAGAATAATTGTTTTTTACATCAAGCATTTTACGTTTTGTATTAAATTAAAGTCAGTATCAAAATATTTTATTTACAAACCAAATTAAGAAACACTTAAACTAAATAACAAACTAAACTAAACGTTTTATCAAAGTGAGTTCTTTTATTCATGTGTCAATACGTTCAATAAAAGAACGTCTCATATTAAATAGCATCATTGGTTCTAAAGAAACTGTTGAAGTATTTATTATAAGTATTATTTTGGGATTTTTATGCATTTTGTAAGTCACAATATCTCACCACTTGACCAAGAAATATGACTATCACGAACAATTCAACGTTCAGGAAAGTTGTATTTAAGTATGTTCTCACTGCCCTCTCTTTCTATAATGTGGTGGTATACCATCTTGCATAAACCACATATTTCGCCTTAAGTTTAATGACAACTCTTCCAATAAATCAATAAAATCATTTTATAAAAAATGTAAATAAATCTCACCATTCAAATTACAAGGTAATTCTCATGTCCGTAAAAAATATTTACGAATGGTTCCAAACCATACGTCTATTTAAAATTCATGTTTAAAATGCATATCGTATGATTTGGTTCCATTTGTAATTATTTTTTACGGACATGCAAATTACCTTGTAATTTAAATGGTGAGATTTATTTAGATATTTTATAAAATGATTTTATTCATTTATTGCAAGAATTGGCATCAAACTTAAGGTGAAATATGTGGTTTATGCAAGATGGTACACCACCATATTATAGAGAGAGGGCAGTAAAAACATAATTAAATACCTTGGTCATGTGGTTTTAATTTAATACAAAACGTTGATGTTTCTTTCTTTGCCTGGAGTAATTGCGTTAAATCACAATTATGTGGTTGATTTGTAAAATGCGATTATCTCGAACACTATTGAGTTTTGAAGTTATTAACAAGTATACCCTTTTTTGTTAAATGAATGTATCTTTAATATTTTATATCACAAACACCGGTAACTTAAAGAGCAAAAAAGTTAAGTGCAAATGTACGCCACATATGTGGCATATGTGGCACCCTCTATCAGTTACATTAAAGCATGATACTATAAACTACAGATAAACCCACGCGCACGCGATCAGTCGTGTGACGTCACTTGGCGACAAATGTCACCAGAAATGTTCTGTGTTGTATGGAGTTTTGTCAGATTTAGTCAAGGTTAGTAGATATTCAAGTATCTACTTAAATATCTACTAACCTTGAGATTTAGTTTTGTTTTATCGTTTATCTTGTACGTTAACATCGGTTTACTGGGTAAACCATCTTTCCGAAGGAGGTTTACTTAAACCATATCCAGATTTTCTAATTAAATGTAATGAACTGGACCATATTTTTAACAAAGGGTCATTAAAATTAACCAAGAATTATTTAAAATCGCTAATGGATTTAGCTGTGTTCAGATGTAATGTTAGTAAAGGTGTAAAGGCAGCTTTACATCTAGGCTATGCAAGTCTCATGCTATGCAAGTCCGTCTTGCATGGCACATCTCTTGCCTAGCTTGACCTTTTTACATCAGAGATATTTGCATGGCTCTTGCCTAGCATAATAATAGCATAATTTAAAACTGTCTTTAACATCAGAGATATTTCTGTGCAATTTTAGATCCCACTTTCATTGTTGCCAATAGAGAAAATATTTATCAATTTGAGGTTATTTTATTTTAAATAAATATACACTATTTATGGTTATTAAAAGGGTGAAGGATGTCAACCAAAGAAAAGAAAACATTATTATTGTTGAATATTGCTGTTGTAGCAACAATCATGAAAAATAATAAAAAAAGAAAACCTAGAAAATGCTGGGTCAAACCTTGGTTGAATGCAGGACTGGGAAATTTGAAGTTACGCCAAGAGTTCTGGGATGCTAGAGACCTTCAAAGTTTTAAAAACTTTTTTCGAATGAACGAGTCCACTTTCCTTAAGCTCGTGGATAGAGATAAGGTTATGTTTTATTTTGTAATCTATTATAAATTGTTATGTTGGCAACATGAATTTTAACGATAAATTGCAAGAAAATAGCATGAAAAATAGAACATGTTCTAATTTTTCGTCTAGCACAGGAATTGCATGGAAATAGCCCGTGGGCATGCGCAGTTCCATGATCTGTCTTGCATGGCTCTTGCCTAGCATGAAAATAGCATAATGTAAAACTGTAAATTATATTTTAAAATTAGAAAATTGAATAGATATATTAAAGAAACATCCAAAGTTAAGAAGAAGAAAATATTAAAAATTGTAAAATAAATTGTTAAATAAACTTGTAAATTATTACAGTGTATTTTATTTTATCAGTTGTATTAAATTTTTATTTTAATAAATCAATCCATTGTATATAAATTTCCATTTGCAAAAGGATGTTTAGTTCTTACTTTTTTATATAATTTTAGTTTACATTGCTAGGCTAACAGAGTTGTATATATAACATATTTTTAAGATTTAATTGCAGATATTTTTCCTAACATCCCTTAATATTCTAAATATTTAAATAAAAACCCCTTTCTTTCCATATATGTTTTACCGACTGTGATGATAAAAGGTTGGTGATAAAAGTGACTTTTATCACCAATTGACGTCATGCGCGTCGATGTACAAAATTCGATTGCGAAGTGGGTTTATCTTGGAAGTCTTAGTATCATGACATTAAAGTATGCATCAAATTATAATTCCCGATGTTCAATAGTATCCAGTTATGAATCTTTATACATAAATGTTTACAAACATGAAAGTTATACCGAAAATTAAAATTTTAAATTTCCACTTTAACACCCTGTATCTTTCTTAATATCAACATTTTATTAAAGCAATTTCGCTTAAGTCGTAATATTTTAAAGTGTAGAATCTACGGTTTATTTTTGTACAATTACTTAAGGACCACTCTGTATATATGTTTAATAAATATAATAAGCAATAAATTATTAGTCATTTTATTATCAGAATTCATATTTACACCCTAAAACCTAATCATTGTACCTGCTTGTACCGTCCTGATTTTATTTTAATATAAAATAAAACCCAAAATTATACATCTAAACGTATTAATAAATATATCACAACCTAAACCTAACTATGACCTATTTTAAAATCACACACTAATGAGAAGTGATCTGAAGGGTAAGAAAGGCTGGGCACTCTGTTCTCTCCAATTTCCTCTCCCGTCGGCATATCTAATACGGCTTCTAGTTCTAACTTATTCTTAGAATAAAACATGTAATCTATAGTATGGCAGACCTCGCCTTCGCCTCGAATCTTCCACGTCGTATACGAAGGTTCCCTTTCGGCTGAGGAAATTCTAGGATCGGTATCACAGTCAGCGTAAGCACTACCCAGCTGAAGAGAATTGTCAAGTACGGTTGAGTACAAAGGCTCAGTAGGTTCTGCGTTGAAATCACCACACAGAATCAAAGGAAGATCCTGACTGTTTGCTTTCACGAACTGTAGGAGGTCTTTACCTTGTTCGTTGCGAAGAGTGGAAAGCAGAGCTCCTTTTTTGGCTTTTAGGTGGGTTGTGGCGACGCAGATTTTTTGGCCTGTTTCTTTAATCTTTAAAATTGTTAGTAGACCGACCTAAAAATAAAAATATTTTAGTGGATATTGAACAATATAACATGATTTCGTTAAGAATTAATTGACTTTATATAACAGAACTAAAAATGAGCAGCATCAATATTCGTTTCTGCATCACACCTTAGCATTATACTGTACGCATCATAAATTAAATTAGGGATACTGTGTGGACGATGATTCTGATCATATGGTACTCGAATACAGACCTAAAGTACCTTTTCAGGTGAACATCTGCCCAAAAAAGGGATGGGCAAGAGCATGATACCACCAAGGCTGCAGAATTATACCAAGTAAACAGATAGATTTATAAGACAAGCCCATAAGCGATTATAAGCGCTCTCAGGTGCATTAAGTATACTATACGCTAGTGTGGGAATGCAGAGAAAAACTCGATAGACTGGCGCAAATACTACTATCCTTAGAAGGGCAACGTACGGCTATGATCAGATCAGAACACAATATACCACGCATTGAAAAAGTATATTCGGTCAAGCATATGGCAAAATTTATTTTATACGGATATGCGCAAAGACCATTAAAGTAATGCGGAAAATTAGCAGGAATCAGCTCATAATCATAATAGGCTTTTTTACTAAGCGCGCGCTAGTAAAGAGACACCTGCATACAAAGGGGATGTTTAATGGAGAATTGCGATGCAGACTTTATAACTTATACCACATTTCATAAATAAATGGAAGATATACAATACAGCAATGTGCTGCAGTGCGACTAGTTTAAAAAAACACAATCCTATACAGCATATATGGTCAACTAAAGATGGAACAATTAATTTTTTCATTGGAGTTCTCGGTTTTTGAGAGAACAGAGTTTTCTGCTAGATGTATTTAGAAGTCCATCTTTGTGAAGTTTAGTTTTTTTTTAATTATATTTAATGGTAAGTAGTATTTTATTTAGCGTTTGACGATTTGATGAATTTTGTTTACCTCAGTGTTCTTATTGTTGTAGTTTTCCATATATTAGTCAAATCTTGTATACGAAGAAGAAGACAAAGATGGAGACTTCACAGAAGAAGTGAAAATAATATACAGGGCACTAAAAAAAGAAGGGCAAAAAGATCAGACAACTGATCAAGTTGTACTAACACCAAAAAAGCTTAATGACCGAAACAGATTACGAATAGAGCTTTGAAGAATCTGCTGGTAAAAAGAACAGTCTATATATTAAATTTAATCAACAACAGGGGAAAAACCTCGGAAAAGCAGCAGATTTCCATAGAATTATCGAGTGATAAGCTTATTAACAGCAATAAGCAAAATTGCAGAGCGGGTCATACTAGCTAGACTAAAACAAAATCAGATTTAAATTCGAACACTCATGAGCTTAAGGTACTGCGTCTAGCAGAGTACATCTCGAAAGGATTCAAAGAAAAGAAATATAGAGCAACGACTTTTATAGACGTTAGTAAAGCATTTGACAGAGTCTGGTACGAAGGCCTGCTATATAAAATGAACCAATATGGTTATAGTGAGGCGATGACATGTCTTTTTTGATCATACCTAGCCGACAGAAGGTTCAGAGTTAGAATAGATCTAGCAACAGAACATTTACAACGGGCACTAAATAAACTAAAAGAATGGTATGTGCAGTGAAAAATAGCTGTCAAAATCTTGTAAAACACAGGCCGTCATGTACCAAAAAAGAAACGTCAGACCAAATGGGGCCCTATCCCTATTCGACACAAACCGACTGGTCAAATCACGCCAAATATTTAGGGGTAATGTTGGATAAAAACTGACCTTCACAAAACAAATGAAACAAACGGTCAACAAAGCTAAAGAAGTCAATTCTTATCACTAATAGGTCAAAAGAGTTAACTGAGATTCAAAACAAAGATTAGGATGACAAATTGTATAATCTTGCCAACACTAACATACACTTTAACCGCATGAGGGCACACGTGCAAATCCAACAGGGAAAAAATACAATTAGTACTGAACAATATGATCAAAGAGGCTTTGAATATACCTAAGAACGTACGTTAAAGTACGTATTTAGGGATTCAGAACAAAAGAGAATCCTGAGAACTATGAACGAAAAAGCGCACGTGATTTTCAACGATCTCAGGTAGAGTAGAGTACTAAGAAAATTGACAGACTATGACGAAAACCAGAGGACAGTACATAGGCGGCCTATACAGCAACTGGCTGGATATAGGAAAGACCCAGAATAACAGTGAAGAAATGATAGCCATGCAGTATTCGAATGTACGCATTAACAGAAGACCCAAAAAAAACACGTATACATATATTTTATTTCTTTTATTTAGTTATATTTATTTTACTAACCAGTTACACTATATAAAAATAAAAAATATATACACGTGGTGTTTTATGGCGTTATATCTAATATTATTTTCTCGTAACCCTGTTACAGCAGTCATGCAGTGCCAATATCACAAAATATCAATTGTACACACAGACAAACCGCCCTTCAGGCACCTAATACCCTCCAGGTAGGTCAAATGGACCAAGCTGGCGAAACCTGAGTATCAAAGTCACGTACCGACAAACGTGAGCTCGATGGCCAGACCCTTTGGGCATTCAACCAACGACGAGAACAAAATTATTTTGCCATTTTGAAGGTTGAGTGACCGAGCACAGACAATCCGAACGGGTAGCCACCAACTTAGGTCGGTGATTCGCTGTCCGAAAGACAAATTCTAGTACACAAGCCTGGTAAACTGGTAAACACAAGTCACGTAAAAATTATATTTAGTCAATCATAGAGAGAAATTCCTAAAATCACACAAAGTAAAACATATGCTGTCCCATTACTTAGGGCATCCAAAGTAAGGTTCAGTACATAAGGCTCCCATTGTTATGTGCTGCTATGAGGAGGGGTGGTTGGTTATAGCTTGGGGATCAGATAGGTACCACAGATTGTGACCGGTTTGATCTTCGGGCATGTGGGCCTCACTGTTCCATTGGGTCAAATCTTGAGAATTTAAATAATGAAAAACATTGGTAGATAAATTAAATGCCATAATAAAAAACCTGTTCACCTGGTATACAACTACACATAACAAACAAAATTAACAGAAGTCAAAATTTGAGAAAATAGTGAAAACAAAGCAACAAACTGAATACGGATATATTTTGTTATATGTTGCAGATATTTTTTGTGTAATGAAAAGCTCATAATGTAGGTATGATTTAAATTAAAAATAACATCTATGTTTATTTTTATGAACGAGAGAGTAATTAGCATAATTTTAACTGGTACCTCCGACCACTCCATGGGCGTGCTCAAGATTAATTGAAAAATTACTTTGAATAATTGTAAAAAATAAATGAATTATTTCAGTGTTATAAAGTGTTATGTGTATGTAAACAAAAGTGACCTCTTTTATCACACACTATATTAGAACTGACTGGCCTACATTAAAAAGGATTTTAAAAAATTCACATTTTTTTTTTAATTTTTAAAAATTACAAAAGAGAAAAAGAGTTTTTAAAACCGTCTAAGGTATGTTAAATAGATGAATAAAAATATTAATATAAAACTTACAGCTACTTGTTACAAATTCAAATCAGATTCAGAAGATGAACTTTCAGAACCAAGATTTATAATAACTGGCTCGATCATTTTATCAGTAATATTGTCCAGCTTCCACATTTTTTCCTCTTCATTAATAGAGTGATTTACTGCCTTTTCCCAGTTTTCAGGTTTAACATTATTTACGGCCTCCAAAAACAACTGTTTAACATCATGAATTTTAAAAGTGGTATTTTTTCCTGAAACTTCACTCTTTATCTGTGCCCATACCAGTTCAATCGGGTTTAATTCACAATGATATGGTGGTGATCTAAGTACTGTCATTCCACGATTTTTGGCAATTTCATCAATTTCGTATTTTTTAAATTTTTCTTTATAAGGGGCACACAACGAATAAAGTTCCTTTCTTATAGATCCGGGATGGTACGTAATATTTTTTGAACTCAGCCAATTCTGCAAGTCTTTTTTTAACCACTTGGTTGTGGGCAGTCCATCTATAAGTCTGGAGTGATAACTTGCATTATCCATTACTATTACACAGTTCTTAGGAAGAAGATCTATCATTTGTTCGAACCATTCTTGAAAGACATCGCGTTCATGTCTTCATGGTAGTCACCGGTACGAGTTGATTTAAAAGTTAATAAACCACCTTCAACAAAACCGTCTGAACTGCCAATGTGTACTATTATCAGCCTGCGTCCCTTTCCTGATGGTGGGTTTAAACCAGTAGATAAGTTATTTACAAAAGCGTGCCTTTGACTTGTAACAGTTTCATCCTGCCAAAATTTATTTGGTGTATGACCCTCGTTGATCCATGTTTCATCAAGATAAAATATTTTTCTTTTTTGGTTCCTCATTTCCTTTATGGTTCTTAGAAAATGTCTTCTCCATATGACAATATCGCTTCTTTCTAATAAAATAGACCTTTTGGGATTCTTTTTCCAGCGGAAGCCTATTTCTTTTAAAAGTTTCTATATCGTACTTCGACTCATTTCTGGGTAATCCTTATCATCTCGAACTGAGACAAGATATTTATCCAATGTTGGAAATTCTTGTCTAAAGAAGAATTCATGCACTTTCCGTCGAAGTCCTTCTTTAAAATGATATTCTATTTGAAATTTGGTTTCCCTAGAGCATTACGTGGCATTTAAAAACTACCACATTTCTCTTCTTTAATAACTCTGTAAATCGTAGATTTCCCAACACCAAGTGTACTGCTAACTAACTCAACGGTCTCATCAACACTTTCACATAAACGTTTGTCTGTAAATGATTTAAAACAATTAAATATTAATGTTTTTTCATTAACTGTTAAAGGACCAATTTTTCGGCGTTTACACGGCACTTCCAAATTTTCCATAACACTAGTATACACAATAAACTGCACCTTGCAACTGAAGTACCTACTTTTAGTGAACTGTTAAGAATTTTGAATACGCCACTTGGACCTTCCTACAAAATGGAAAAACCCACTATCACATTTTCTGTGGAATAAGGTAATTATCTAGTCAATTACTGTCGTAGATTCCTGGAATTAAAGAATTAAATGTTTGATTGTTGAAACCCTTACTTCGTGGAATGCACTCATTTCAGATAAAATAAAACGTTTTATTTTATCTTAAGAATTAAACTTTATTTTGTAAATAGGTGGGTACTAATTAAACTTTTATTGGTTATATATAACCAATAAAATAAACATATTACATTTCTTGCAAATTCATTAGTACCTATTAACCTCCATCACTCCGACACTGGCAACCTTATTTAGGGATTAGTAACCCTCACAACTATTGTATTCTATTCTGCTCCAACCTTTATACCTGGTGGTCATACTCAATTTAAAATTGTTTTCCTATATACTTCTGTACACTTGTTGACAAATATTTGTTTTTCATTGAGTCACCCATATCAACAGTTTAGGGATTTGCATACATAATTTATTGTTTTAGTACTCTCTCATACATAAAAATACACTAGTGTTATACCTAAGAATGTATTGTTTATATTAATTACCGTACCTGATTACTTTGAACCTTCCATATCTCCAAAATTTTGGTCTGTGCCTCAAGTAATTCGAATTTGTCCTTTCTATAAAAAATAGCACAACCGTCAGGTCCATTATTACCATCGATGTATATACAGGGTGAGTCGGGTTTGGGGAAAAATAAACCAGTGTAACCTTGCGTCTCCAATATATGGCTTAAAAAGTTGAAATGATCAACTTCCTAAAAATAAGTACATATATTTAATACAATATTATTTTAATACTTATAGATATAGCAAGTTGATTGCGATTATTCGCATAAATAGATTATTTTTCCACTAATATATTATATTTCTGTTCAAACACATTTAAGTACTGCAGTGTACCCCCGTGGTTAGTAAACAAGACCTCGGCGCTATACAAATAATTGTTAATAATGAACCGATAACAAAAGTTAACCATTTTAAATATCTAGGATGTTGGATAAACTAGACACTAAATCCGGATGAAGAAATTAAAACTAGTATAGAAATTGGAAGAGGAGCATTTATACAACTAGATCTATTCTGAGCAATTCTCAGCTGAACTTACAGCTGAGAATTAAGTTCCTAAAATGTTATGTGTATCCTGTCTTACTGTATGGATGTGAAACCTGGATTATGAAGGTTAATATGATGAACAAATTAGAAGCCTTTGAGATGTGGTTATATCGTAGAATGCTCAGAATATCATGGGTTCAACACATTAAAAAATAGAGAAGTCTTGAACAGAGTCGGTCAAGGTGAAGGTGACTTAATAAAGATGATAAAAAAAGAACACTCGAATATCTGGGGCATATAATGAGAGGAAGCAGATATAGGATAATGCAGTTGATACTCAACGGAAAGATCGACGGAAGAAGAGGAATTGGTAGAAAGAAATACTCATGGCTCCGAAACCTTCGTCAATGGATTGGCTTATCAGTAGATGAGTTACTAGCAGAAGAAGTGTACCCCCACGTGTCTCCCAAGCGAGATATTTGTGAGTAATTATATAAAAACTTCATTTGTTTGTAATTGTGTAGCGCCTTACAAATATAAATCTTCACTAATCTGCAAAGAGCAGGTAAAGTGGTCAACTTAAATCACTCAAAATAATATTATATTCGCGTTCACGATCAGTTTAGAATCCTCTTAGTAATCAGGTTGTACTAGCCTGATTTGTCTGTCGAAGAGCTTTTTTGTAGATAATATTTTAATTTTTGAAGTCAACAACAAAAGAATGAAGAATGGGAAAATACCTGCTTAAATATTGAAACATACATAGAAGGTACAAGAACTTCGGAGTCATGGAAAGTACTGAGAGTATTGAAACAAAACTCAAAAGGAAAAATTAAATTGGGAAATATACAGGACAAAGAATGGAAGAACTATTCTGCCCTGTTAAAAATAGAAGTCGTATCTGCTATATAAAATAAGTTATTCCACTTTAAAATTTTGTCAGATCTGCATTTTTACAGTTTACGTTAAACCAATTTGTCGAATCTCCATTTGTAAACATTTTTAGTCGTAACTTCACAAGACAATTTGTAGTTACGACAAATTTGCTCCAAACAACAGGAACATCTAATCTAATCATTCATAGTGTTCCCGCCTTTTTAGTTTCTTAACCTAAAAATTAAACGGCTGTAAGCGTTATTCGACGTATCTGATTTTCAGTTATTTACTAGTATTATTATTATTGTTATGGTGCTTTTGGGTGTGTTTACATTAAAGTTTATTAACTGAACCAGTAACAATAGACAGAAATAGCAGAGCATTTAAAATGCTGCATATTTTAAATAACCAACAAAGGGAGAAAATACATAGTTTACGACGACGTGACGTGAAGAAACTTAAACTTCAGCATGATAATGATCCCGATTTTATTTTGTAAGATTCAAAGACGGAAGAAGTTGAGGAATCGAAATTAAACAGAAAAGGATTAAATAAAGTGAAGATTATTAGTGATATAATTTTGAGAAAATTAAAGAAAAAAAAATTAACAGCCACAATTGCTAAGCACGGTGTAAAACCATCTTGTATCTCTTGCAAGAGAATATGTTCCGAAAAAATTACAGAAGCGAGACGAACAGAAATAAATGGAGACTTTTGGAAATTGCAAAAAGACGAGCAGAAAAATTTTATTTTTAATAACGCATCTGAACATGTAAGCAAACGGAAAACCACAGCTAGTGTTGTGTCTAGAAGGTCGAAAAGTTTTTTTTAATTTTTTTAAAGACAATAACGGATGCAAAAAAAGTGTATGTAAAATATTTTTTACGAGAAAGCTGGGATATGAAAGGAAAAATGACAGAGGTATTAGAGATGCCCTTACTAAAACAAATTCAAAAGTGATGGTCAACAGGAATAAATAAACAAGGAAAAACAGGAATAATTAAAATAGATCGAAATATTATTAAAGAACATATAGAATCTTTCAAATCCACAGAACCACACTAATGTCGGGAAGACGCACCAGAACGATGTTATCTTCCAAGTGACATCACAATAAAAATGATGTACCAGAATTTTATGGAAAAATATCTAAATATAAAGTTTTCGTATTATTTATATATATCGAGATATTGTCGCAACTTTAAATATTTCAGTTGTAAAATTAGGATACGAAATCTTGCATTTAAAATCGACGTCTCATAAAAAGGATGCATTGGGTCCAACTTTGGTGTACATAAAAAAATACAGTACTGTCAGATCAGAATATCAAACTAACTCGTCTGCAAAAAGTAACTGGGACGATACATTAATGGTAGTTTCAGCGGATTTGCAAAAGGTAATAAAATATATAATTATAAATGTTTTATTTTGTTGTGATATTCTAGGTCATAATTCTTCCGAGAATGGATATGTTTGACGAGATTATTTTCACACCTCTGATAATTGCTTTTAATGAAAGTTTTGTCGTCACTGTTAGAAAGCCAACAGTACCAACTGCAATTTTATGGCACGAAGGAATAGTCGGACGGAGTAAGTCGGATATTGCCATAACATTCTATTCATTTTTTTGTCTTACCAAGACGCTATAATGTGGCTTGACAATTGCTCTGTTCAAAATAAAAACTGGGCTTTGTTTACTTTCTTTACGTTTATTGTAAACTCTGAAATACTAAGTATTAAGTATTTTGAGCCTGGCTCAAATACCTTCATGGCTGCGGACTCATTCCACCACCAAGTGGAACGCTCTATGAAGCAAATGGGTAAAATATACGATTCTAAAGACTTTTCGGATGCAGTAGCAAATGCAGCAAGTAATGCTAAGTAATTGTTATGGAATTAGCTGACTTTTTTGAATGGCAAGATGGTACTTCTGCATATAAACTAAATATAATCTCAGGGCATACCTAAATCAAATGGTTCAAGTAATTTTTTCTAGAGGTAAATATACTTTTTCAAGTCCATTCCTAAAGGAATAACGATTGAAAGAAAACAACTAATTATATCCAAACTGTGTGGACACATCTTAATAAACTATAACTTTGATTAAGGTAAGACTTTTTACTTTACCTTATTTTTATGATTTGTTAGAATTAAATGTCGTATCTATCAAAAATCTAATTTCAAATACTCTGAAAGAAAATTGCACGCACTCATTAAATTTTTACTCAAAAAATATATTCTATATTGTATCCAGATTTTTAATGAGTCATTACAGTTGATGGCAATTAATCAAATCTAAAACATCGATTATCTTAAAATAGGGATTTTGTCAGTTACAACTTCTATTCTTAACAGGGCAGTATTACAAGCAACTCTACTACTATTAACGGAACAAAAACTCAGTTTATTGCTTCCTGCTTTATTATTTTCCCATCAATTTCGATTTTACATCGTAGTGGATATTTAGATGTTGTCATACATTTGGTTTTTTCTGCTTTATTATCATATTGTATTTCTTGGTTGTTATGTGTATTAATCTTTGGAGCCCGTCTTCTGTCTCAGCGATTAATGCGGCGTCGTCTGCATAACATAATTTGTATTTTTATTTGTTCCCCATTCTGTAAAATTGACCTTTACGTACTGCTTGTATTATTTCATCCTTTAATATATTTAAGAGAAGTGGGCTTAACGAGTCACCCTCTCTGACTCCGCTTTATACAGTTATACACTGTGTTAGTTTTCCATTTATCTTTGCCTGTATTCGATTATGGAAGTAGGTATTTTCGAAGGTTTGTGTAATATTGATTGGTATGTTTCTTTTATACAGTAGGTGAAAGACATCTTCGACTTGGATGCAATCAAAAGCCTTTGTCAGGTCTATAAAACATAGACATGCCAAATATGTATATTCATATAATATAAAATAACATAAAACATAGATATAATATGTTTGTAATGGTCGGGTAAATTCCATCCTTTTCTCGCCAAATACTTTCTCTTTCTGGAACTGGAAGCTCCGCTCTGTCACAAGATTCCTATTCTACAGTACACAAACTCCTACTGCATCATTGGAAGTCCTGTTGAATTTACCACTACTTCATATCTTTATACAGGGCGAAGCCAGATCAGTGATGCACAGATTAATCCATAGTCAGCGATATATAAGCCAGATACATGGTACTGACAACAGAAAGCTAATCGAGCAGCTAAAAGCCGATATTGTGATGGGGAAACCTATCGATGCAACAGCTACTAGATATAGCTTTAACAATAAATTCACATTTAAGATACCAGGCAGGGAAGAATGGAATAAAGGTGTACCCATAAAAGCTACTGCTACCTGGTACACGGATGGCTCAAAAACATCGGAGGGTGTTGGAGCCGCCATAGTAGGGACAAATCAAGGGATACATTTCCCGGTAAGTCTATCTAAGGATGTGACAGTTTTCTAGGCGGAAATAACTGCAATCCATCACTGCGTGGAAGAAATAGAAAGGCAGGAAAGAACGTTCTGTTCAGTTGCCATCTTCACAGATAGTCAGGCAGCGCCTAAGGCACTCAATTCGGTAGAGGTCAATTCTAAGCTAGTATGGGATTGCGTATGTGCCCTAAATAAACTAGGAGGCCCTAGCAAGGTTACGGTAGCCTGGGTACCGGGGCACGAGGGTCATAAGGGCAATGAAAAAGCAGATGGAATGGCCAAACAAGGCTCATCAATGCCATTCATTGGATCGGAACCCTTCTGCGGCATTGCAAAGTCAGTAACAAGAATGGCTATAATAAAGTGGGTAGCTCACAAATCTCTGGAATGGTGGAGGAATTCACCAGGACAAAGACAGGCGAAACAGTTCATTACAGAACATTCGCCAAAATTTACGGCAGACCTAATTTGCAAAGACAGGAAAACAGTCAAAGCCATAGTAGGTCTTCTAACAGGGCACTGTAAGCTGAATAGGCAATTGAAGCTAATGGGATTATCAGATGATGACCTGTGCAGATTCTGTCACCTCGAAGAAGAAACAGCCGAGCACATTTTATGTCAGTGTGACAGTCTGGCAAATGTGCGGTTTTTTGCATTAGGAGAAGAAAATCCACCGGCAAATATCTACATGGAAGGTACAGTCTCGAAGCTACTAGACTTTATAAAGAGGGTCAGGCTAGAGAATGTTATCTAGGACTAGAGGACCACAATAGTTCTGAAAAGGTCGCAGTGGAATAGGCCGAAAAGCCACCTCTCCTAATCTAATCTAATCTAATCTAATCTAACAGTACACAAAATTGTATTTACGAAGAGATTGTTAAGTAACTAAATAACTTTATATAAATTAAGTTAACAAGGTTAATAAAGGTCATTTTTAAATTGTTTAACACTACTGAAGCGTGTCAAACTATATATTTTTAAAACGCTTGCATAAAAATATGTTTAATCCTAACTGAAAGCAACTTTTAAATTTTAATAACTATAAAAAAAGTAAATTTTAATAAACTGAAATTTTGTTTGCAACTGTGTTTTGCTTCAACGCGTTTTTTGCTACAGGTTAGAACTTGTCGCTGTAAGTATTCGTGTGACAAAATTGGCTTGAAGCAAAAACAATTCTACAGTATTAGCTACGATAGACAAACAATGTTATTACGCCAACTCATGGATTTAGTAGATATGAAAGTACGATATGTTCCTGAAGATGAATTGCGACGAAACTGTTCGTTTACTTATACGTTGCCTGCTGTAGGCACAAATATACGTGTATGTCAAAAAACTCTATGTTTCATATCAAAAGTTACGCCCAGATACATCTATAAATTGCAAGAAAAATTTAAGTTTAATGAAAATACTGTCTGATCAAAGAGAAAAACATAAAAATAGTCCAAATATAACCTCCGATGCAATAAAAGTAGATGTAAGAAAGCACATCGAATCTTTTCCTAAAGAAGTAAGCGACTATTTCAGAAATAACACTCAAAAGCTTATTATTTTACATCCAGGCGTATTCATAAACAAAATGTAAATAAAACCGTAAAATAGTTTCGAAACACAATCTGCTTTAATCTGTGCTTTCTAAAAATTGTAAAGCAAAACAGACGTTGATAAAGGTGTTAAAAGAGACGTGGGAAATCTAAAATTTGCATTCCACGACACGTCTTTTCAACTAAGCAGAAATCCTTAGCGAATTGGTTTCTAGTACTCGTACAGAGTAGATCCGAATAAAGTGAAAAGACGGCAAATATTTGATTTCACGCAAACAGCGCCTTTGTATCCAAACACCTTTGAATAACTGTATAACTGTTGTGATGACTGACCTATTAGGTCGAAATACGTATTAACAGATACAAAGGCGCTGTTTGCGTGAAATCAAATATTTGCTGTTTTCACAAAATGTATATACTTTTTAAGGCAAAGTTTCCTAATTTTCGTTGCAGTTAAAATCTTTATCGATACATATTTAACTCCGAATTCAACTAGAGATTTGGCACATCTAGATCGGACACTTGCGCGCGAAGTGATAGGTTTTATGTTTAGTTTGTATCTGCCAAATCTGAGGCACAAATGCAGAGACTTTAAATCGAAATTAAGCTACACCACGCAAAAGCAGAACAAGCATATGCTACCTTAAATGAGGATATAGAAATAGCTCAAAATAATCCCAATAGTATTGTTCTATGAACATTCTAACATATTCTACCAACGTCAATATTAATGCTATAATCAACCACAACTGTTATCACAACTGTCATGTTATCACAACTGATAACACGAACGGTATCTAATTCATCACAATTTTCCCTTACTCGGTCGGCAGGTAGGAAGATACCCCAAAGACGATTTGAAACTATATTCGTACGGCAATGGTTTATGACTTTGACGGTAACTCTTAACCCCTATTTGAAGATTTGTATTTGTAATAAGCTGCCAGTAGCAAATAAATAGACTTTAGTAAGTTTCCTATCAAGGATAAATCCAAGATAGTTAACCTCTTTCAGAAATCCAAGATAGTTAACCTCTTAACCTTCGGAGTACGGAGATTATTTGACTTACTTAGATTACGAAGATGGGTCAAGCGTGACCCATTCTCATTCTATTTATAAGGATGTTTTAAATAGTCAGTATTATTAAACAGTATCTTTAATTCAACAAAAAAAAAAACAAAAAAACATAAAAATTATGATCCCAAATTTTTGTATTTAAATTGTTTAAGATGGTTCACCATCCTGGTCTTTTTGGCAGTAGTTGCATTTAATTTTGACAATATGGACTTCTTCGCGTTTTGAATGAGTATTACAAGCAAATCTTTTACACATGTCACACCTTTTTGAATATTTATTGTCACTACCATTACAAGAATAACAACGACCTCGTTTTGTTGAAGATTTCCTCACTTCCATTTGCTTTTTTACACTAACACCGGTGGTCTCTATTGCAGCGATTACGGATTTAGGGTATCCGGTGGGTTCTTCTTGTATTGCTTCCGCTCTTCGTTTTATATTGGGCGAGGTTAATTGTTTTCCAAGCTCCTCCAGAAATAGTTTTCTGTGATGTTTTATATTTACTTGGCTGTTCCATTCAGGATTTTTCGTATTCCAGAGAACGAAAGCATTGTAGCACGCAATATCCAAAAAGTTGAAAAATATACGTAAGGGCCATCTTCTTGTTGCTCTTTTACATGTGTACTTTCTGATCAATTTATCTAAAATATCGACTCCACTTTTGGTTTTGTTGTAATCTACAATAATCTTTGGTTTAAATTTGTGGTTTTCATCAGAAATTGCATGTTCATTGTGTAAGGTCGATAATAATACAACAAACTTATTAGGCTTGGTTACATATGAAACTAAGGTAATGTTTTTAGTGAACAAAAATTTTGAAGAATACAGTGAGCAATCTGTCATTTCAAGCAATGATTTGGGTAAACTCTTCCTATTTTTTCTGATAGTACCCAAAAGAGTTAAATTTTTGGTTAACAGTTCTTCAGATAAAGCAATATCGGTAAAAAAGTTATCAGTTTTAATATTTCGACCAGACCTATACCAATGTTCTGCAAGTGTTTTGACAACTCTTGGGCCTTGGTTACCTTCAGATTGATCACCAATCTTTCCAGTATATATCTCAAATTTACAGCAATAAAAATTTTCAGCGTCACATAGGGTCCAAGCCTTTATACCGTATTTCTTTGGTTTACTTGGTATATAAATTAGAAATAGACAACGTCCCCTAAAATCTATAAGCTGCTCGTCAATAGTACTAAAAGCAGATGGTTCGTATGATTCCCTACAATTTTGGGCAAATAGATCAGCGATTCCTCGAATAGGAGTTAATTTATCTCGTTCTCTTCTTTCTGCTCTCGTTTCCAAATTATCAAAGTGAATATGCTTGAAAATACTTATAAATCTATCCCGGCTTAGAGATGCTTTATATATAGGACGCGTAAATGCATTATTTGTATTGGACCATAAATTATGCACCTTCTCATGGGACTCTCTGAACCTTCCACATAATATAAGTATACCAAAAAAAGCACGCAGTTCGACTAGATCAACTTCAATCCAATCCTTCATTTTTTTTCTCGTTCTTACTGTTATACGCAGCTATGATTTCAATAGCTCTCTTATTGGTATACTCAAGAATCTTTGACATTATACTATCAGAAAAAAATAAATTGAAGGCATCCAACAAAGTTAGACCTCTCGTCTCGGACGTTCCCATAGAATATGCCTATTAGACACTACATTACTCTCAAGGTTAACTTCTATCTACTAATATTTCTACAAACATAATCATTTTGCCTTGAATACGTTTACTGGAAAACAGAGACGGCTGCGTTTTACGTGTACCTACAAACACATTGAAAAATTCTTCAAAATCCGAAGACCGGATCAGGACTGACCCGACATCATAGATTTTACGTAGAGGAAAAACTGCAATTTGCATGTTCACGAATGATACACGAAAAAATAGATTGAAACAAATAAGGAGAACTTACGAACAATCAGATTTGTAAAAAAAATATTTCATGAAATATTAAGAAATAAGTGAATTTCGGGTCACGCTTGACCCAGTCTTCCTACTCCGAAGGTTAATAAAAACTATATTAATTTTAAACTTTTCTCAATCAGCGATATACATTCATTTCATTATTTTAATTAGTATTAACTTAATTATGTAGAATTTAATCATAAAAACATATAACATATCATACCTGTAGACAAATAATGTCGGGACAATACTCTACCAGTTCTTCTATAATCAGATACCGTCTTGAATTCCATTCCAGAGCCTCATCGGGACATTTAGAAAAGTTATCATTCATTTGTCCCAAAGCTGAAAGGACGAAAAACATTATAAAACTTTGCCAGAATGGAATTTAAATTTAAGTTGAGATTTAAGTTACATTTAATTTCATTTTAAATTAATTCTTTATAATAAATTTAGTACTTTAGTAAACCCTTTTATCCGTTGTAGTATCCCCTTGTACCCACACTTTACATTCAAATTCCTCATTGTCATTCGTTCTCAGTTCATTCTACCAATTATTTTGGTATTCCAAATTCGATCATAGCCGAATGTAATTATTGGCATCTGTCATCTGAAGAAGAAGAAGTCAACAATTACAATTCACGAAAATCTGATGACAGTGTTCCGTCGTTTTTTCTAATTGTTCAGAAGCTAATTTACTAATGTTTGTATTTTGAGAACGATTTCCGAAGTGGAAATTGAAACGTCAATAAACGTATTTAACCTTTAATTGTGGCTTATTCCCATTGAAATAGTAATTAGTTTTTTCTAATATTTGTCTCATGAATGATATGTGATCAATAGGGTGTCATGATAACTCGGCTCCTCGAAATGCACCCTGGATAACGCTAAATGAGCTATATAATTATGCATGTCAAGCTAGTCGCTGAACTGTCTTGGCAATCAGTACGATAAAAAAAGTAAGAAAAGGAATCTTCATATATTAGTATGAAAAACTACAAAGGTGTTTATCAACGCCATTTGACAAGGCGATCGGACTAACCCTCCGCAATTTCTCTCAAAACTTCTAATCGAAAATAACATTGACGTCACAGCCATACAAAAAACTCACGCACTATTGGAAACTGAGCTTCTTAGGAGAGGAAACTCCAGGATGTTGCATGACTGGAGCTATTACAGCTGTTTTGAACCTACTGCAACTTATGTGCATAACGGTTTACAAAATGTCAAGATGATGGACAAGAACTATGAAAATAATGTATCCATAATCTCTACAGAAGTGAATGGTGTAACCATCAGTAACATCTCCGAACCACCAGTAACTAAATGGTCAATAAATATAATTATAGTACTGGACAAACATCCTATAGTTTACATTGCGTTACTTAACAGTCACCATAACAATTATGGATATGAAAACAAAGAAGAAAATGGAAAAAAATTCTTCGAGTGAGCCAAATAGAACCGTATTCACCTTATTCATAGTCTAAAAGATAACGCCACCTTCTTTTGCAGTAGGTAACACAAAAACTACAGCACTGATCTTTGCTGGGTTTCGACTAACTCACAGATTCAAGCACGCTTTTGGACCGTATTCCCTAGTTTCCCTTACAGCCAACATCGAAGTATCTTTCTTTCTTTCTTTCTCCCCTTCCTTTTACCCTATCAGGGTGTCGGATTTGGGCTAGCTATTTTAATTTCCATTTACCCACCTCTTCCATTCTTTTCTGTTTCCTGCCATTATTTTCAATTCCTCGAGTGATTTTTGTTTAAATTTTCCCGCCTCTACTACTTGCTGTATCCATTTTTTTCTTGGTCTGCCTCTTTTTCTTTTTCCGATATTTTTTGCTTCATAAACTTTTTTTGTTATTCTATTGGATTGCATCCTCGTCAGATGCCCATACCAGTTCATTTGTCTCTTTGCTATTTTGTTCATTATCGGTTCCTGGTTGGCCATTCTCCTAATCGTTGCTTAATCTATCCCATTTTGTCTTTCCAACTATCCTTCTTAGATGTCTCATCTCCATTGCGTTTATCCTGCTCTTATGTTTTTCCAGAATTGTCCAGTTTTCACTTGCATAGAGCACAGTCGGTATCACTATTGTGTTATATATTTTTATTCTTGTTTCTCGTGTAAGTTCTCTTTTTCCCATTATTGGGGCTAACGCATAGTATAACTTGTTTGATTTCTTTGCTCTATTTGTTATTTCCCAGTCTATTTTTCCATCCTTAGTTATTATACTTCCCAGGTATTCGTAAGTTGATACTATTTCCAATTCTGAGTTGTTACATTTTATTTTTATTTGATTATCTTCCTGGTCTCCATTGCCGCTGATTATCATTATCTTACTTTTTTTCTCGTTTATCTCCATTTTTAGTTCTTCTATTTGTTCTACCCATATATCCATTAGTTTCTGCATTTTATTCTCGGAATCTGCTATTAGTACTATGTCATCTGCATACATTAAGGACTCTATTGTTACCGGTTGTAATCTGTGGTATCCTATTATTGTCTGTAGTTGATTGGTTCTGATTCTAGTGTTTCTTAACAATTCGTTCATTACTAGTATGAATAGCAAAGGGCTGAGACTATCTCCTTGTTTAGTACCTATCTTCCAATTAAATGCTTCCGATCTTTCCCCTGTTATTTGTACCCTTCCTTTTACCTCTTTGTAAGTACTTTCTATAATTTTTATCAATGCATTAGGTACATTTATTTTTCTCAAGCATTTCCCTATAATATGTCTTTTTATCGTGTTAAATGCTGCTCTTAGGTCTATGAATGCTAATACTAGTTTTTCGCCCGTATCTATGCTTCTTTCTATTAGGTTTCTAATGATATATATGTTGTCATTTGTCTGTCTTCCCGGTCTAAATGCCGTTTGTTCTTCTCCCTATATCATTTCTACTTCTTGTCTCAGTCTCTTCTCTATTATTTTCGTATATATTTTAAAACATACCGATGACAGACATATTGCTCTATAGTTGTCGCAGTTTACATGTTCTCCTTTTTTGTATATTGGCACGATGATATTTTTCTGTCAGTCTTTAGGTATTGTTTGTTTTACCACGCCTCTTTATATATTTTCCATAGCCAGTTTATTCCTTCTTCTCCCATGTATTTTACCATTTCCGGTTCAATTTCATCGTCTCCACCTGCCTTGCCTATTTTTATATTTGATAATCCTTCTATTACTTCTTCTCTACTTTTGCTCTAGCTCTGTGTTTTCTTCGCCTTCATTGTTTATATTGTCTTCATTTATTACTTCGGTATCAATTTTTTTCTCATAATATTCTTTCCATACCCTAGCTACTTGTTCTGGGCTTATTTGTATTTGGTTTGAAGTATCTCTTACTGCGTTTATTTTCTTTCGTCCTCCTTGCCTTATATGTCGTATTGTTGTCCAAAAGTTTCTATTATTTGTTATATATTCCTCCTGAAGTTCTTCTCCAAATTCTTTCCATGTTTTTGCTTTTGCTTGTGTGACTGTTTTTTTTACCAATCGTCTCTGCCTATAGTATTTTTCTTTATCTTCTTCTAATCCCGTTTCAATGTATTTTTTCCATGCTATTTTCTTCTTTTTTATTTCTGTCTTTACTTCTTTATTCCACCATCTTGTCCTTTTCAATAGTTTATTATTTTTTTTATTCCATACACTTCAGTTGCTGTTGTCTTTAATACTTCACTGTAAGTATTCCATCTTTCTTCCATTGTCCATGTTTCTTTTTGGCCCTCTATTTGTCTTAGTCTGTTGTTAGTTTCCTCCGTGTACAATTCTGGCACAGTTTATATCTTTAGTTTGTTTACATTTACTTTCTTATACTCTTTTCTTTCCACTTCCTCTATTTTTTCATCCTCCAGTTTTGCAGTGACCATTCTATGTTGTGTAGACAATTCCGGTTCCTTTTTCGTTAAGATGGTTTTTATATTTTGTTCTAGGTTTCTCGTATAGACTATATAGTCTATTAAGCTTTTCGCATTTCTCTCCAGCCACAAATGTATATTTGTCGTTAATGGTTTGTTCACTGAATGTGTTTCCTATTATCAGGTCATTGGTTTGGCAGAATTCCAGCATTTTAATTCCATTTCTACTTAATGTGTCTTCTCCATATTGTCCAATGAATCCTAATCCCCTGTTAATGTCTTTATCTACTCTTGAATTCCAATCGCCTAAGATTATTATTTTTTCTCTTGTCTCTCTTAATTTGTCAAATGCGTTTTGGAGTTCGTTGTAGACTTCTATTATTATCTCTTCTTCATTTCCTTCTGTTGGTCCGTATATTTGTATTATTCCTATCTTGTCTTTTAGTTCTATTTGGGCTGTGATTATTCTAGATGATACTGCTTCATAGTTTGTTATTCTTGATTCTATTATTTTATTCACTATTATACCGTCTCCTTCTTTTGCTCTGTGACCCTGTGGTACTCCGGAATAATATAGACTATATATCTCATTTATATTGATGTGTCCTTTCCCTACCTTTTTTGTCTCGCTTATTCCCATTATTTGTACTTTCATTTTTTCCATTTCTTCCGTAGCTTCTATTTCCTTGCCGGTCAGAGATGTCACATTCCATGTCGCTATTCCTATATGATTTGTCTTGTTATGATGTATTTCCTTATTACTATATTCTTCTTCTCCATTATTGGTGTGTTCGTTGATTTCATGCTCCCTGGTTTTTGTATTAACATTATATCCGTTATTTATTTTATTACTATTTTTATTTTTAATACTAATATTTAATTTTTCCCTACCTTCATTACTACTGCTATGCTCATTATTAATATTCCCTCTAGCTATAATATTATCACTACTGTTAGTATACAAAATACCCATATTCCTATCACAAGTCCTATTTCTAATAAAATAATTATCATTTACATTTCTAATCCTATTCCTATTACTACTTAAATCTAAACATTTATCATCATTGTCCGGTTTATTTAGTATCATATGTCCGTATTTAGTTGTCATCGAAGTATCATAATCGAAATATTCATACAAATTCCTATCGTCGAATACACGCCAAGACCCCCATTGGTATTTTAGCAAAGCAAACTGACACATGTATACCTGTATTCCTTCAATAACCCAAAGGCCAACAGTTATCACCGTTTTCTATGAATGGTTATCTCTATCGCCAAAAAATTTATCCCAGAGGTTTCCAAAAGGAGTAGGTCCCAGGTTGGATGGATAAAAGTTAAAAACTATATGACGAATTTTTTATTTCAGAGGATCCCGAAATTGGAGACGACTTATTGAAGTCACTGGACTCAACTAGACTTAATAAATGGAAGTTTCCCGTGCAACATATTAATTTCTCCCGTTCCAGTCGGAAGGCATGGGGACTGATTCGCAAACTAGATGAAGCAAGTAGAGCACAAAACTCGAACAAATCAACAATTGGACCAAATAAGATTGCCAACAGAATAACTGAGAACTCCCGAGCTCCATCTCAGAAAGCTCCAACTTTAAATACTCCAGCAATATCAGAATACTCACTTGCCTGCTCATTGGAATAACTAACGAAGTACTTAACAAAAAAAAACAGCTGGCAGCTGGCTTCGATGGAATGTACCTATCCTGAATTTATAACCCCAATTGGTATAAAAACACGGCAGTGTCAAATTTCTCAGAACGATTTTTGAAGGGGAAATCGAAACATCAAAACAAATTCATTTTAAAGCAAAATTGTGGCTTATTCCCAATTAAAATAGTTAATTGCATTCAGATTCAAACCCGTGGTCCAATTTTCACTTAAAATGGTAACTCTCTGCTTTTTATTTATGTATTTCGTCTTAAAAAAAAAAAACAAATTGACTTACCTTGGGATAAAATATTCCATTGTAATACCCGTAAATTGTTGGGGCCAGAGGTATATTCACTGCATGCTAAAATAAAACATCAGGATTAATAATAATTATATTATTTACTAATTAACATTAATAAATAAATGGAGATAAACTATTGAAAAGTCTGTGATGACACATAAGTGAAGTGACGACACAAAAAATTTACCATTTGAATATACCTATTAAAAAATTGAATATTTTTATTATTTATACTATTGTAAACACATAGTTGAACAATTGATGGATTCGACCGTTACTTGATGGAAATTCATTTTATGTAACAATAAAACACTGAAAACTTTGTTTTCAAACTTCCACAAAATTTATTTTAAATATTATCACTACAGCTGTTTCGGCTGATTGCCTTTCTCAAGTGATCTATTTTGGCTTGGGTTTACAAATTTATAGTCTCTAATGAAATAGGTTGAGGAGGGGAGAACTGTTTGTCTCAAGTTGGTCATTCAGAATTATATCTGTGTTTTTTAATTTGTTGATTTCCATAGATTCTAACAAAGATAGCTTAAGGCCTTTATTTTGAATGTGAAGAATTTTAAATTTGTCATTAAAAGAATGATTATGATCTAGAAGGTGAAGTGCGTATGTCGAATCTGTTTTTCTATTCTTGAAAGCCCTTTTATGTTCTGCTATTCGTTTATCAAAGTTTCTACCAGTTTGACCGATGTAAGTTTTTGGGCAGTCGCCACATTGAAGTTTGTACACACCACTATTTAAGTGTTTTTTATTTTGGCTCTTATTTTTAATATATTTGTCTAGGTTGTTATTTGGTGTTAAGCTGGTGTTATTCCTTTCTTTTTTATGTGTTTGGCAATTTTTGTTGTTATTTTGCCTGTATATGTAATCGAGCAGAAGGTACTGGGTTTTTTCTCTGGTGGTGGAAATACTAATTTCAGGGCTTTCTTGTGTAGTTTTTGATTTAACATTTTATTAATTGTTTGTTCGTTGTATCCGTTGTTTACTGCTATCTGCTTAATTATATTTAATTCTGTCTCAAAGTTGTATTTTGACATCGAAATTTTTGTTAATCTATGTAACATACTATGATAAGCTGCCAGTTTATGTTGTGTTGGATGGGATGACGAATTGTGTATAGTCGTGTCAGTATGGGTAGGTTTATGAAATATAGAGAAGTCATGTTTGTTTTGAAGTCTTCTAATTTTTAAATCTAAAAAATTTATGGATTGATTTTGTTCTGTTTCTATTGTAAATTCAATATGACTATGAAGTGAATTATTATATGATAAAAATTGGTCGAGTTGCCTGTTAGTTCCTGTGAAACATACCAGTACGTCGTCTACGTATCTCCACCAATATAAAAACTGTTTGAATACGGGATGTTTTGAAATCTTTGTCTCTAGATGATCCATTAAAATATCTGATAGCAATGGGCTTAGAGGATTACCCATTATAAGTCCTGCACTGTTATTTGTATAAATTTTATTATTAAATTCAAAGTAGTCCTGGTTTATGTAAACTTCAAGAAGATGTAAAATTTCAGATGTAATTATTGGATTTGTACTATTTTGGTCTAAAAGGTTTTTTACTAGAATAAAAGTTTCTGTAAGACGAACACTAGGAAAAAGATTTTTTACGTCAGATAAAACTAATCTAGAGTAAAAAAGAAAGGAATAACACCAGCTTTCCGAACAAATAACAACCTAGGCAAATATATTAAAAATAACAAGAGCCAAAATAAAAAACACTTAAATAGTGGTGTGTACAAACTTCAATGTGGCGACTGCCCAAAAGCTTACATCGGTCAAACTGGTAGAAACTTTGATAAACGAATAGCAGAACATAAAAGGGCTTTCAAGAATAGAAAAACAGATTCGACATACGCACTTCACCTTCTAAATCATAATCATTCTTTTAATGACAAATTTAAAATTCTTCACATTCAAAATAAAGTCCTTAAGCTATCTTTGTTAGAATCTATGGAAATCAACAAATTAAAAAACACAGATATAATTCTGAATGACCAACTTGAGACAAACAGTTCTCCCCTCCTCAACCTGTTTCATTAGAGACTATAAATTTGTAAACCCAAGCCAAAATAGATCACTTGAGAAAGGCAATCAGCCGAAACAGCTGTAGTGATAATATTTAAAATAAATTTTGTGGTAGTTTGAAAACAAAGTTTTCAGTGTTTTCTTGTTACATAGTTGAACCTTTTATAGTTAGAATTTTTTAAATAAATAGGTCATATCAGTCAATTGTATATTATCTCAAATATTAAATACCTAAATAAAAATATCTTTCTTATTCTAACGATAAGACATTCAAGGCGATCAAAATTAAAAATGATTATCTAAACGCTCATCGATTCGAATCGATTATTATTGAGAAGCGACACACCACATCAAAGATCGAACATTTCTTGTTAATTTATTTGATTATATTAATATATTTTCTATTTATATATTATACAGTTGTTCTTTTTAAAATCGACGATGTGATAAAATGCTGTGTCAAACTAAAATATATATTCTTCTTCTTCTTTCAGTACTCTGTCCGATTATCGAACGTTGGCGATCATATTGGCAATAATAAGTTTATTTACGGCGGCTCTAAATAAATTAGCGGTGGTTTCTTGATACCATTCTCGGAGATTCCGGAGCCAGGAGGTTCTTCGTCGGCCTGGGCCTCTCCTTCCGATGATCTTACCCTGTATTATGAGGTGGAAGAGGTTATACCTATCTGGATGTCTCATTACATGACCGAAATATTGTAACTTTTTAATCTTTATCGTTTTTGTTATTTCTAAAACTATTTCATTTCTTATTCGATCAATCGAACTTATCTGCAATACTCGTCGATAAATCCACGTCTCAAAGGCCTCTAATTTTTTCATTAATGTCTCTGTAAGGGTCCAGCTCTCCATACCATACAGCAATGTGGAGAATATGTAGCAGCGTATTAATCTGATTTTGAGATTTAACTTAATAACTCTATTAATTAGAATTTTCTTTAATTTATAGAAAGCAGCTCTCGCTTTTTCAATGCATATTCTTATTTCTTTATTTATATCCCAGTTATCGTTAACGTTTTTCGCCCAAGTAAGTAATGTTGTGGACTCTTTCTAACTTTCTAACTCTATTCCATACGCTCTTATGTTCGTTGGCTGTAACTCCGTTTTGCTGACAACCATAAATTTTGTCTTAGAAGTATTAAGTTTTAGCCCATATTCATCACATGCTTCGGTTACCCTGTTTATAAGTCGTTGCAGGTCTTCTTCATTGGAGGCAACAAGTACCGTGTCGTCTGCATATCTGAGATTGTTGACATTAATTCCGTTGATTTTTTGAAAATAAATTCGGAGTAGATATTAAAAAGTAGAGGCGATAGAATACATCCTTGCCTCACTTCACGTTGTATTTTCACTGCTTCCGTCGTATTGTGTCCAGCTCGTATGTTTGCACATTGATGCCAATACAAATTTTTGATAATACGGAGATCTCGGTCATCAATTCCCACCTGTTGCAAGGCACCTTTAAGTTTGTCATGATTTACTCGGTCAAAGGCCTTTTAGAAGTCGATAAAACACATTTATACTGGTTGTTCTATATCCCTACATCTTTGAACCATGACCTGCCAACGGAAGAGTGCTTCTCTGGTTCCAAGGTTGTTTCTGAAACCAAATTGTGTTTCACTTAGTTGTACTTATATTTTGTTGTAAATTCTCGAGTGCAGTATTCGTAGGAAAATTTTTAGTACACGACTCATCAGACTGATAGTGCGATGATCGCTACACTGTTTGGCATTTATTTTTTTCGGTATCATTACAAATGTTGACAGTAGTCAGTCTGTTGGAATATGTCCTGTTTCGTATATTTTATTAAAGAGGCTTAGAAGAGAATGTTTTCCCTTATCGTCGAGGAATTTAATTATTTCGCTTGTAATTCTACCTCCCTAATCTGTCTTGTTCATTGACTATAATAATTCCTTATTTATACAGTAAACTACTTGCAGTTGATCTTATATATTCCAGTTATTTCTTTCGCCTTTTTGTACATATTTAACGTGTCATTCTTTTTCTGTGCTTCTTCTGTTTCAAGACATTTGTTGTTGTACCATTTTCCTTTGCATCCAGAATTTTCCTTTTGATTTCTTTATGAATTTTATTGTATTCTACAGTGTTTTTATTTTTCTGTTTTCGCCTGCTTTTCATTAGTCCTAACATTTAATCAGACATCCATTGTTGTTTGCGATTATCAAACCTAGCACCTAGAAAGCGCTCTGAATAGGTTCCAAAGATTGTGCATAAAGTGGAAAATTGCACTAAATACTGACAAGACACAGGCCGTTATGTACAGACACAGGATTTGGAGACCAGACAGGGAAATCACTATACGAAACACCCATGTAGAATGGACGAACGAGGCCAAATACCTCGGAGTCATTTTAGACAGAAAGCTCACTTTCACGGAACACGTAAAACAACCTGTCTACAAAGTAAAAGCACTAAGAAGTCAACTTTCTTCGCTAATCGGCAGAAAGAGCAAACTTCGCTTTAAGACAAAAATGAGGGTAGCTGATAGTATAATACTACCCTCCCTAACATATGCATCTGCCGCATGGGGACACACATGTAAAACGAATAGAAAGAAAATCCAAATAACACAATACTGGATAATCAAAGAAGCACTGAACTTACCTCAATACGTTCCACTGAGGTATTTATTCAGAGACTCTGGACAGAAAAAAATCCTAAGGACAATGGACGAAAGAGCAAACACCATTTTCAATGGTCTCGTAAATCATCCAAGCAGGACATTAAGAGAGTTGACAAACTACGACATAAACACTAGAACGGTACATAAACGGCCAAAGCAACAACTCATTGGATATAGAGAAGAAGGATAAATGAAGAAAGAGATAGACACAGAGCCGACTACAGAGTATATTAGACAGTGAGCACCAAAAAAATATAGTATATAAGAACAATATACACCGGGGTGTGTGCAGGCACTATACACCCGGGAATGCACACCTAATCACACGCACACTTAGGTTAGATTAGGTATAGATTAGAATAGAGAAAATAAAAAACACAAAAAAAAAAACATATACACGGAGTGTGTGAGAGCGTTATACACTTGGGAATGCACACTCCATAGTTAAGGTATTAGCATAGATAGACTTAGTTTTAAAAAACAAAAATCGCTCACTGTCTAATTAATGTCATGTCATCTTCAAGATAAACAAGAACACCCGCTACATCACAAAATTTACATAACACAAATAAGAATGTATAAAAGGCCCGTCAGGCACTCTATACCAGCCAGCAGGCATAGGCCCTTCAGGCAGATCAAATATTGATCAAACGCGGACTCTGAGCATCGAGGTCATGTGCGGCAAGGAGCTCGATCACCCAGCCGGCGAGGAGAACAAAATTTTTATTTTGTCAAATCAGCGACTGAGTGAACGAGCACACACATTCTTTTTCAGACAGAGAGCTGTCGGTCTAGACCGATGGCTCTCTGTCTGGAACACACTCCTTTTTTAGGGACATGAGTCCCGAAGTAAAGCTAGAGTAACTTCTATAGAGTCAGTAAAGTTAAATAGGGTGAAAAGCCGACATGTGTGTTACCCCTACAGTTAGGTGGCCTAACAACAGTCATTAAAAACAGAAGGTGTCTCATTACCCAAGACACCTTACGTAACATTCAGATCATAAGCCTCCTCACGTAAGTCACACGCTGAGGAGGGGTGGAGGAAAAGCCTGGGGGTCAGATAGGTACCACCTCAACTAGTGAGGTGTGACCGGTTTGATTTTCGGACATGTGGATCCCACTCTTACAGTGGTATACACATGTCCCTAGGGGTAGGGTTGATCGCCTCGCGTGATTGTGTGTGTGTGTGTGTGTATGTGTTGTTTGCGATTTTTAATAGTTTTATACTTTTTAGTTGTTTCTTGCATAATGCTTTTGACATGATTTCAGTGGTTTTCGACGTTATGTGTTTCTTTCAATTTTTCAAATTTCTTTTTTATCTCTTGTGTAATTTCATGACTATTATTTTGAATACAGTCAGTGTTTATCCGGTTAATCGGTTGTTTGAGTTTTACTATTTTAAGTTTGAGTTTTAAGTCACTGATTAATAAGTTATGATCTGAGGGACATCGGCTCCAGCTAGTGTTTTAGTTATTTTAATTGAATTTCGGTACCTCTCGTTAATTGTTAAATAATTGATCTGATTTTTTATGATCTTTTAAATATATATATATATATATATATATATATATATTTATATATATATATATATATATATATATTTATATATATATATATATATATATATATATATATATATATATATATATATATATATATATATATATAATAAGAAGAAATTGTTCTACAATAGAGTGATAATGTTAGTAAAAATTGATATGAATATTCTCCCAAACTTTGGCGCATGGCTACTTATTGAAATTCGAACATTGTACAGCAATTCTTTTATACAAAGTCGAACGATTATGTCTATTTCGGAGATTGTACAGTAAAGGGGTACAATGCTAGAAGTTAACAATATTCTCCGTACAATGCTAGGATTACCACATTTCGGACATAGCTCGTAAAATATATATTTAATATATTATACATACCTCTCGATACAGCATTCAACTTCTTGACTTTAACCCCACAGTTGAAATCTGACGATGGTCTAGCTTTCCGGAACATTCTCTTCACCATAGGTTGTATTTTTGGCTGACGCTGACAATGTTGCAACAACTCTGTTCTGCTTATGTTTTTGGGAAGGTTGACGTCATGGTCTAGAATGTCTTCGTTGAGGACCCTAGGAGTTGATGTGAAACTGCCCATTCTGTAAAAAAGAAAAAGAATTAAATTTTTGATATTTTTTTAGATGTTCTAACTTTAAATTAGCTATGACTTTTGTTTACATCAGTTTATCTGCTTTGAAAACAGATAATTGCTAAAAATTAGAGCTAATGAGGCATTATATCAAAATTGAATTAATTAATTTTCAGCTTTGAAACTTTAGACTTGTGAACAGGTATGTTAGTGGCGCACACAGAATTTTTCTGAGGGGGGGGGGATTTTGAAATTTTTTTACGCTACGTCCATTTTGAGTCCGTAAAATTTGGGTTTTAGTTTAATTTAAAGTACTAAAGATAGCAGTGCCAAAGTTTCAGGTATCTATTATCCTGCCTACCAACTAAAACCACCCTCTCTTACTTGTGCGCAGTCGACTGTCGCACGTATTGTACTCCGAAAGTGGCGTGGTGGCTGCTGTACCACTCGTACACACAAAGTACGGAACACTCCTTTCTCTTATCTAGATCTTATCCATTGTTCTGAAGGTATTTTCTTATGGCATTTTAAAGTAATTATTATTTTAATGGGAATAAGACACAATTGAAGGTTAAAATATGTTTATTGACGTTTGACATTAATCCAACTTGTAAATACAATACATTTTGGAGACGACTATCGCCGTATTGCCGTTCTCCTCCGCCAATCCTCCTGGTCCAAGGCACGCTCCTCTTGAGGTCTACCTCTTTTTCTTCTTTCAGGGGGCTTCCATTTGTGAAATTTTTGGGGTCAACGTTTGACAGGCATTCTCAATGTGTCAAACTATTTTAAACCTTTTCTTTCTATTATGTCAATGACCGTTTATGTAGCATCCATGTTATTTCTTACCGATTCCTTGGTCTTCCTTTCTTGTCTTGATGTTCTAGCATTTCTTCTCAAATAATCCATTTGAACTGCCAACAATCTTCTCTTTAGGTCTGCATTAATTGTCCATACTTCAGAGCCATAACAAAGAACTGATTCAACCATGGTTTGCCCTATTCGTTTTTTGTTCTTTTTAAAAATATTGCGATCCCACCATAAGGAGTTCAGACATCCTACAATTGTATGTCCCTGATTAATTCGGTGTTTAATTTCCGTTTCTCCCAAGACGTTCTTAGCAATGAGTACACCTAAATATTTAAATTTTTCCACTTGTTTCATATTCACGTCCTCGTCTATCAACACTTCAAACCTTGCATCTGAATTAATAACTAAATATTTTGTTTTCTTCATGCTGACTTGTAACCCCAATTTTACATATTCTCTGTATAGACGCTTTATCATAAATTCTAGATCATAAGAATCTTGGGCGAGGACGACTTGGTCATCCGCCAAGATCAGGGGTAACAGTACGTAATTTACTATGGGGATTCCCATTCCCTGGCACTGGCTTTCCCGTTTTGAAGGGCTGCTTCAATATATAAATTAAACAGTAAGGGTGACATACTGCATCCTTGTTTTAGTCCTATAGTTACTTTTATTGGCTCTTATAGTCTATTTCCGATTTTTGGCTAAGTAGTATTATTCCTGTATACTTCTATGTTTATTCCTAAAAGGTATGGACTAATGTCGAGTTGTTGTAAAGCTTGCCACAATTTAAGTCTTGGAACTGTATCAAACGCCTTTTCTAGGTTGATGAAGGCTAGATGTTCTTTTTTTATTTCGTAGCTATTTCGTATAGCAACCAATAAAATCATCATAGCCAGAATGATGGGCAACATTCGGAATGGACAGGCACCCTAAGAAGAAGAAGATGTTCTTCAGTACCAACTGCTATTATTTTTTCTATTAATTGTTGAAGTATAAACAGATTATAAATATAAACTTATTTTAACCTTCAATTGCGGCTTATTTCCATTAAAATAGTAATAAGATCTTATCTCTGTCGTTGGCCTGGTTGGTGTTTCTCTTGTTCTTTCTTTTTAATGACTGCTCGGATGTAATTGTGAACACTATTCCATCCCTTCGTACTTCCCGTCATCTTCACGATCATCTCTCTTACAGTCACAGGGTTTATACGTATTTCTTTATAATTCTGTTTCTCTCCACTGTACACCTATTACACTCAAGCATTGTGTAAGTAAAAATGTCGAAATATTCGCAGTATAGGCATTTATCTGTATCTGTCTTTGTGAACCTATGAAGATACGCCCTAAAACAGACAATCTACCCAGTCCCTAGGCTCGGGATCAGCATATTGGTCCACTGGGCAACATCTTTGTTGTTCCACTATTCTTGCCATCTTTCCATTAATCTCTCTAACACATGCAGAGGAACACAACCCGTATTAGTCCACAAGGCCACCGCAGATACAGTCCTGAAGGCGCATGCTACTCGCAACAGACTCGTTCTGTCTACTTTTGTCATAAGCCTAATATTAGGTATCTATATCTAAATATAATGAAAAATATTATTAATTATTGTGTATTTATACAATAATTATTGTGTTCTACATATTTAAAGTGGTAATTTAATTATTCAATTAGCGTTTTGGAATTTTTGTATTCCCCAAGGGAAACCCCCCTCCCCTGGGTGTGCCACAATATCCAATTAGTAACAAAAATACTTCAGATAAAGCTTAAGAGGCCACCATCCCCCGGTCTTCCCTACAATAATCTAATTGTCTGCAGTACGTCTGGTGTAGAATAGACGGCTTCCAGAAAAGAAGAAAAAAATTGGACCTAACCAACCGTTAATGTTAGCGATGTTTGAGATAGTACTAAAAAACATTACTAACTTATAGTGTCCTTGTCAGCCCTTCGTTTAAGCATCCGGTTTGTACGTAACAAAAACCGATTTGCCACCGTATTTTAATATCCACAAGAAAAATGAAATTTCTGTAGTTCGCTTTATATCATTAATCACAAAAGTTTTATTTAAAAATGCTTTATAAAAGGTATATAATTAAAAAAAGCCTTTCGGGACACAAAACGTTTTTGGACTAAAATATCCATCTTTAGTGTATTACATGTAAGTATTACCACTTTGGATGGAACAACTTGAGATTTGCAGACGACATAGTCCTTATTGCAGACCGGGTAGATCATGCCTGCCACCTTCTTCAAGACCTTTAGAGCTCGTGTACACGAGTTGGACTTAAAATTAATTTTTCCAAAACACAATATATGACCAACCTTGTACTGGCAAAAAATATCTCAACGACACGCAAATTGAACAGGTGTATAAATATCTGGATCACGAGATTAAATTAGGAAGAGATAAACAACGGAGCTAAACAGGAGAATAGGGCTATGTATGGGCGGCTTACGGAAAACTGAGAGAAGTCTTTAGATCAGATATTCCCATGTGCTTGAAAAGGAAGGTCATTGATCATGTGACTCCCAGTTCTAACGTATGGAGCAGAAACATTGACCCTTACCAGAAAAGTGATCAATAAAAATACAAGTGGCACAGATAGCGATGGAGAGGTCAACGCTGAATATATTCCTCAGAGACAGAGTATCAAATACAGTAGTTAGGAGAAAAACTGGTGTTACTGACGCAGTTCAAAGGATTACAACATTGAAATGGAACTGGGCGGAGCATGTTGCCACATTAAAAGATAGAAGGTGGACGAAGAAAATTTTGGAATGGAGACTTAAACACGATGCTTATCGTAATCAAGGACATCCTCCAACAAGGTTGGTCAGATGACATCAAGCGCATTCAGCACAACTAGATTCAGGGTTCTCAAGACAGAATGCATTGGAATTATTTACGGGAGGTCTATGTCCAGCAGTGGAATCAAAACAGCTGATGATGATTACCACTTTAGTGAATGCAAACGTAAAGGTCCAATTTTGACTAAGGTCGAAAAAGCAATGTGGTTAAATACTTACCAGGTGTACAAATTACTTTAAAGTCTTTCCACACATACAATTGTTTCACAATGTTTAAACATAATTTTCAGAGTATATCACACTTCAATCCCAACATATTGATGTTTGCTACTGTTATAAATAACAATAAATAAAAGTTTTAAAATGTTTAACATATTTATTTAACACATTGTTGACTGGTATCACATTAAGACACATACTACAAGTTACCTATTTAACTTTAACAACACATCATCTTTTTAACCAAACAGGTAACACATAATAAATTTTGACTCATGCACACCTAATAAGTATTTAACTACATTGCTTGTTCAACCTTAGTCAAAATTTAGCCTTAACGTTTGCATTCGATAAAAAGGTAATACTTATTCCGGGTTATATACTGATGATGGACTTTTTACTTCGAAAACATTAAGGGTCTTTTTAATTATATACATTTTATAAAGGATTTTAATATGTCAGTATAAATGTGTGTTCTGTTTGTGTACGTGCGTTTCAGACCGTGAATGATTCATTATATTTAAGATCTTTTCACTACTGCGCCGTACATGTATGTGTCATTGTAAAACCTCTCGGATATTAATAAAAATATATTTTTTATGGTAGGTATTTACTAAACGAACAAACAATTATTGTTGCAACCTATGACCTTGGTCTTAAAAATAATATCAGAAAGGGTACTCTTTACAAAACACGCTTAATTTTCATACAATATTTATGAGGTATTCATGTTGTATTTCTTAGAAGGTTCAAAGTTCGCATTTAATGTTTTGTGTAAAATGGTTTTTCAAAGAATTGAGTTAAAATCATAAATATCGAAAATTGTTTACGTTTTGTTGATAATTGTTTACAGCAATCGCACAGATAGCAGAATAATATATTATTCACAAAACTGTTACGAAATACAAAAAAGCAATATAAAACAAACTATATTATAAAGTATAATCGTTTTCATCGTTCTTGGCGTGTGCGTGTAAAAACACTTGCAATAAGTTGTTTCATCTGTCTTTCCTTGTCTAAGCTCGATTCGTTTACCTCCTCCAGTGGCGGAGCAAAATGTAGCATGTCAAACGAAATAATAGTTATAAAAGAAAATTATAAATTATTTTTCATTAAATTTCTAATAACGGGATATACGTATAAATTGCGAAGAAGTATTTTTCTGGCT